ACTGGAGGTCTCTCTCTCTCTCTCTCTCTCTCTCTCTCTCTCTCTCTCTGTGTCTTACCTGACGGTCCTGTTTGTGGGAAGACTGGAGATACCTGCACGAGGCACATACTTTTTTCTTTTTTCTTTTTTGGGGGGGGGGCATTTCGGAAGTTGATACACTATAGTCGTAGCATAACACACGTGCGTTGTATACGAATACAACGCACCCTGTGCGTTCTATTCCTAAATAACGCACGTGCGTTTTGTTCGGGGGAAGACTGTAGGGGGCAGTAAAGAAGGCAGTGTTCCAGATCTGCTTCCTGTGGTTGAGTCGAGGAGCCACAGTAGGAGCATATAGGGGATATCACCCCTTGCTGCTCCAGCTGTGACCTTGACGTAATCCATGCTGGAGTCGGCAAGCCGCCGTACAATATTTGCCATTGGGGCGCCCTTTGGGAAGCTGGAGTGAGGTGAGCAAATTGAGTCCATTTGAAGTGCTGTAAGTCCGCCGTGTCCAAGTGGGAGTCCTGGGCCCATCTCTGATTGATGATCTCAGTTGTGCCGATTGTCTTGTGGACCCTTCTATAACAATCTTTAACAGTGTCCAATCCTACTATGAGCAGTTCCTTCAATTCTAGCAGGGTCCGTCTATAGGTGCGACCATATCTGCGACTAGTTACCACGGTAAGACCTTCCACAAACAAGCTAGCCCCTGTGTATTTACCCCAAGCGATCAACTAACTCCTGAATGCACAACACAGGTTCTTACAATCACCCCTCTGGACCCCCCGCCCCCCCCTTGGAGTGACGACCAGAAGAGGCCTTTTTTTTTTTTTTTTTTTAATCCCCCCTCCAGTGATAGTGGTGAAGAGACCTAAGATCATCGGAACCACGAGCAAACCAAACCCAGAAATAGCCCTCCCCCAAGCCCATTCCAGCATACAACAACCGTGGACAAGGACCCCTTGGGCGGTGCGCAGGCAGTGTCTGTATGAACTTACCATGCGTCGTCCCAAGGAGAGTGCGCGAATGGCTGGGCGCTATGAAAGCGCCTAACGGCGGATGTGTGTGAGGCCACGGAGTTTTGAATCCGCAACCTCAGACCACAATGCCCATTTCCAGCCGGTGCTCTAACCACTGAGCCACCAGGCCATTCCATTTGTCGTTCTTTTCTTTTTTTTTGCTGGCTGAGGTATCGTGTGCCCCTGCAAGTGGAAACATATGCACGGAATCAACCAGGCAGACCAATTCATGCCCATTTGCCTGTTTTCTTTGGGCCCCGTCGCACTACCAGGCCTTTCCCAACCCACCACGTAACCCGCCGCCGCACATTTATTTTTCGAGCGGGGAAAGGTACTGGTGGTTTAATATGAGGAATTATTATTTAGATCGTGATTAGGGCATTGCGAGGAAAAGGATGAAGCATGTAATGGCGGGTTCCACTGTAGGATAGGGATATGTTAGTGAATTATAATTTCTAATTGCGGAAAAGGATGTGGGAGTTTGAGAGGAAGATGCATAGAATCTAGGCATATTAAAATGACGACATGGTGACGATTGATTAGAAATGGTTTTCAAATTATTCCTTTGTACCATTATGAATTTCTTTTTAAGTCCGAATTGTCCCTCAAGAGATAAAACGGCGATATTTTCGGGCGAAATAAGCAGGTTTCAATTTCGTTCAAAAAATATAAAATGTCCGTTGTGATGGAATCGCTGTTATATACTACAATAAAGTAGCCTTCCAAAAAGCTAATGGAGGGTTGGTCAATCAAAAAAAGGCCTTCTTCTCCACTTCTCCACCCTTTTCCCTACATGCAAACAAACTCCAATGGAAAGAGCGAGTATGTGTGCCTCCAAAGGCCTTCTTCT